AGACGCTCCCAGGCCTAGGAAGCGACTGACTGAGCTGATGATGAAAACAGCCCTGGAGAAGCCTGGGGAGAAGGCAGTGGAGGGGCAGGCAGCAGCCCCCCGGGAGTGGGGGCTGAAGTTCCAGCGCAGCCCTCAGGAGGTGCTGCCCACCAGTGATGGGAAGGGTGTGAGAGGCGTCCGCATGGCCCTGACCCGCCTGGAGGTATGGGCTGGGGAGGGCTGGTATGGCCCTGGGAGGCTGCAGGGATGGGGGCAGGATCCCTCGGGAATCTCTCCAAAGACAGCTTTGTGTTCCCTGCTCCTTTGTGTTCCCTGTCTGGTTGGAGTGACCACTGGCAGGCTGTTGGGGAATTTGGTACCACCCAGTGCCTTTTCCCTTCCAAAGGGAGCTCTTTCCATGCTGCTGCTGCAGAACAGCCTTTAGCAAATACCCGTGATCAAAGCTGCCCAAGGGCACTGGAGGAGGCTGCCTCTCTGCATCTGGTGGCCGTGGTGGTCAGCAGCCTCTTCCTCCCTCTCTCAGGGCTCAGGTGACTCTGCCAAAGCCATCCCCACTGGAGATGTGGAGGAGCTGGAGTGTGGGCTGGGGCCCGGAGCCTGCCGCTGGACCCGGCAGTGCCCTTCGACACCCAGCACGGCATCATCCCCAACAGCTCGGGCAGAGTGGAGGGTGTCCCAGGTCTGTACCCACAGGGGTTTGTGTGGGACCTGTTGAGGGCAACTGGTGGGCTGGGGGCTTTGGAGGGGGAAGCTTCATTCACCAAGGGCATGGATACCAGGTGGTTGTACACCTTAGAGAGTGGAAACTGAGGAAATGAGCTGCCTCTGTCAGGGGTTAGGAGCTGGCCTGTCCCCAGCTCATGTTAGGGATGTCTGGTTTAGCACAGAGTGGGCTTACCAATTCTTGGAATCTGTTAGTAAAGCGACACAGCCTGTAGGACTGCTTAGTGCCTGTCTGCAGGTACATGAATTCCTGTGTCAGCACCATTGAAGGGTCTGTTCCCACTGCCAAGGTGAGTTCTTCCACTGCCCACAGCTTGATGTGACACCCAGGCACAGGGCAAGGACTTGCAGTAGGAGGGTCTGTTACTACATCCTGGCCTGATCCTGGCTGCTCCATGTGTCTGTGCAGGTCTGTACTGCAGTGGGTGGGTGAAGAGAGGACCCACAGGCGTGATCATCACCACCATGAATGACAGCTTTGACACTGCCCAGTCTGTGCTGGAGGATCTCCAGGGGAATGTGCTGGACCTGTCCCCCTCCAGAGAGGGCTTTGGGGCCGTGGAGAGCATCCTGCGCAGCCGAGGTCAGTGTGGGGTGGGTGAGCTGCTGTAGCAGCCAGCAGGAAGGTACAGTGCAGCCAAACTCCTCGTGGATCTGAGTATCCTGGGGCAGTGAGTCCTGTGAGCCACCCTTGGGAGCAGAGGCTGAACCATGGAACTGTGTTTTGTTGCTGTTTCGGTGTTCCAAAGGCCACACAGAGCAGGACTTGAATTCCCTCAAACTCTGTCATTGCTAAGGTTAATGACCACTTTCTGGGAAGGGCCATTAAAAACAGCACAGACCTTGGGTAAATGTCACTGTCAGCTGCCTAGACAGTGAGCTATTGCTCTTGAGTGGTTTTCCTAGTAATCCTTCCAAGCAAGTTAGGGGAAAGATTAAAATGCCCAAGAGAGTAATTTGCTGTAGCTGTGTTTAAAGTCTTTCAATTAAAGTGTGTGTGTGTGTGTGTTTTGCCTCTTAAACTGTCTGAGGTTTAACAGTGAACTGGAAGCATTTTGTCCCCCGCGGTGGTTCCTTACAGCTCTCAAAGGTCTGACAGATCCGAGGTGACTGGAACCTGCCAGCCCTCTCCTCACAGTGCTAGGAATTATGTCTCCTTTGTGAGGCTGAGGTGTGACACTGTGTCAGAAAAGGGCAGGTTTGCTGCCAGATCAGGTCCTGCCAATGGGGAGGTGAGGCTGAACTCATTTTCACCTGGTTAACTTCTCTCTCCTGTCTCTCACCATCACCCCAGGGGTCCGTCCTGTTTCCTTCTCGGACTGGGAGAAGATAGATGCTGCTGAAGTGGCAAGAGGCAAAGCTGCTGGCAAACCCCGGGAGAAGATTGTGGATCCTGCCGAGATGCTGCGGCTGATCGGTCACTAAGGCAGCAGTGGTGGGAATGTGGCACTGCATCCTGGAGCAACACCAGTGGGTCATGGGCAGAGCCTGGGAGCACGGGATTGTGCTCGGGGCTGGTGGCCTCTCTGGAGAGGTGTGTGACACTGGAGCCTCTCTGCTAACGATGAACTCTGGGTTCCTGAAGTGAATGTCTCGAAACATGAGGTTGCTGGCTAGCCCTGCATCCTGCAGCCAGCTGCCACTTCTGAGGGGGTGACTCTTGCTATTCTTGTCCTTGCAGCATTAATGTTGCACAAGTGAGGGGGAGGTGTGTGTGCACCTGGAGGAGTCCTGGCCAGGCACTTTTCTCACGGCAAGTCGCATGGAGAAGTTTCCCTGTATCTTGCTGCCTCCCGTTGAAGCCAAAAGCCAAATGGCTGCATTGTCTTGTCATTTGTGCCTGAGCAGGCATCTTTTAATAACTATTTTTTAAATAAACCCTTTCAGGGAAGCCAAATTGGACCTGCTCCTTGCGTCTGGCTTCTTTGTGTGACTGCCTTAACCTCGGAGCAGCCAGCCAAGCGTCACAGCTCCTACGACATGTCCCAAGGCAAGGCAGCTCCGTGCTGGGAGGGACCAGGTGTTCTCTGCCTGTTGTGAGCTCTGTGCAGGCAGAAAAGGGCATTAATTTGCTTTCTGCCTCCCACAGTTAGAGCCTGGGTTCTATCTTAAGGGGTGGATTGGAATAATAAGCATGGAATCGCCTTGTGCTGGATCGTGAAGGATCCTGTGTCCATCGCTACCTGCCTGCACTGACCGGTGCAAGCAGTGCCTTGAGCCCTTTCACTCTGTTCACTGGTGGGGTTATTTTTTTGGCCTGTGTGTTTTGAAGCTTATTAAATGCTTCTCTTAGCCCAGATTGACTACGGTGACGGTGTCAGGTTTTAAGCCAGATTACAAACCGTGAGCTGTAATCTCCTCTTTATCCGTGGCGCAGGGGCAGCGTCAGCGAGGCCCCTTCCCTGGCTGGCCCTGACCCCCCCGTGCTCCCCCCAGAGTGCTGTAGGATGGAAACCCCACCTCTCTGACCTAAGTGGTGACTGTGGCAGTGGCTGGTGGCTCCATGATGGAGGCAGAGGGTAATCAAACCAGGGCAGCCAGTGGGAGTTTGTCCATGCTCAACCTCCATCTCAGCCCAGCCCTCTCCCACCACAGAGGACTCACCCACGAGGCACTGTACTCCCACCCCATCTCTGTCCCAACCTTAGGGAAAGGAAGTCTCTGACTTCTCCCTAATTTTTCCTTTTTTTTTTTTTCTCCCATCCTTTTCTATTTAAGTCTCATTTGCAAGCTCATTAAGAAACTCAGGAAATGTGATACTGGGAGCTCGTACGCAAACGAGCAATAAAGCTTTTGTGGAACAGCTGCTTGTGTGATGTGGCTCTCCTTACGTCTCACGGCTGATGCAGTCTTAATGCTGAACTCTTGAGTGAGAGATTACATCAGCTCTGGGTTCTGAGGTGAATCAGAGCTTTGGGAAGGGGGTGTGGAGGTGAGGGGGCTGTGCCCAGCGTGGGGTTTGGTTAGACAGTCCAGCCGGAAATGTGACAGTGAAGGGATTGTTGTGGCTGCATCCAATCTGCAGGTTTTGGGAAGAGGCAAGCCAGCTCTTCCCCAGGGTTTTCTTCCACATTGCCTTGAATGTTGATGTCAGGGTGCTTTCATAGCTGTGATAAAGGCCACCGTGCTCACGCTGAGCACAGCGAACGGCTGTTCCCAAACTGGGGATGCTGCAGGGTAGTTTTTGGGCTGTGATAACAGATTAAGGGGAGTGTCTGTCTTTGCTGAGCTCAGTGACCTTGCTCAACCCACAACCTGGTCAAGGCCCTGGGGTTAATGCTGGGATTTGGGAAAGTCATGGGATGATGAAGGTCAGTGAAGGGCAGGGATGGGGGACTGAGCCTCATGGGTAGGGGAAGGATCGTTGCAATCATGTAAATCCTTATTCAATCCCTCCAGCTCCCCCTTCCTTTGCTGCCTGCGCTCCCAAGCCCCTGGTGTCTCGCTGCTTCCTGCCTCCCCGTCTTCCTTTGCTGCCTGCGCTCCCAAGCCCTGGTGTCTCGCTGCCTCCTGCCTCCCCATGGCTGTCCCTGCTCTCCATCCTTCTCCTGGGGGACCGGGATGCGTCTGACTTCCCCGGGAAGGTCCTTCCTCCTGCCGCCGTGTCGTTAGGTGGCGCTGGGAGGCTGGTGGTACCGGCCGGTAAGGGGGATGGAGGGGGACCTGGCCCCCCCGGGGCTGGGGGCACCCAGCTCACCTGCGGGGCGCACCCTCGCTGGCTCCCACTCGCATCAGGGTCTGCTTTTAGGCATGCATAACCTTGTGTTTGCTCCAGGTATGTCGTGATGGTCCGAGGGGTGAGAGGGGCAGCCTCGCTGGGCAGCGATCTCCTCACCCTTGGCTCTCCCCGAGCTGCCACAGGAGCTGCTCCACGGCCGTTTTCCAATGCAGGAAGGAGCCAGGAAGGCAATGCTGTGAGTGACACCCGTCTGCTCTTGGAAAGAGGCCTGAAAAGCTGAAAGTCGTTGCTGCCAGCTCTTCATGTGGACTGTCCTGCTCAGATGAGTTATGGCTCAGCTTAGCTTTAATGAGGCTGCACAAAGCTGGTGGAGGTCAGCATCTGGTGAGCGATGGCCTCGAGAGCAGACGGGCACGGCTGTGTGGTCCCTTCCCACAGCTCTCCTTGCTGTCCATGTGCTGCTCTGCAAGGCAGCCAGGCTGGCTGTGGGGCAGAGAGCCCATCATCCTGAGGGGGTGATGGCACAGCTTCACTTCTGTCTTTGCAACCTCCTGCTGCTGTTTGTGCTGCTGTGCCTCAGTTTCCCGGTCTCAAGTCTGCCCGGGAGCACCTGCCTTGGAGTAATCCAGGGAAGTAGCAGGACTGAGACATCTTAGACGCTCCTGTTGGTGCTGCATTTTCCAATTGCTCCCAGGAGGCTCTTGTTGGCTTTGCTAATAGGTTACTTGCTGAACGTGGCCCTTTCCAACAAGCATTTCGAGCCTGTGAAGCAGGAGGTTTCCTGTGATCTAGAATAAGGGAAAAACCAGCCTGAGTTGAATGTCTGGCCCAGCAGTGAGGAGCTATGTTGCTGTTTAAAAGCCAGCTCACGCCACCAGAAAAAATGGTTGAAAAGGCTTTTGCACAGCGTGGCTAATACCCAATTTTCCAGCCTCATCCCGGCCGCAGTGTCCGGGTTGACGCCGTTCCCTCACCACATGGATCACCGAACTGCGGCACCCGCGGGAGCCTGGGTGAGTCCGTCTGCACCGAGACCTCGCCGGGAACAGATGGCTCCGCAGAGTGCTGACTTCAGCGCCTTGGCTGAGCACAGCATCGGCCCCTGCCTCTGCCCACCCTCGCCACTTGCTCTCCCAGGCACATCTTCTCCTACCTCGTGTGCTCTTCTCTCCAGATCCATCCCCAGCACCAGGCAGGGATGGAGAACAGGTTGTGGTACCAACCACCAGGGTCACTGGAGTGGGTTACCAGCCCCACTGTGCTCAAGGAGCTGCTTCCCTCACCTCTTCACCACAAGCACATCCTTGGCTCCAGACCAACCATAGGCTCATGGTTTCCACTCCCAGTCTTAAGACATCCAACCTTCCCAGGGTGCTGCACTTGCCAAAGTCTTGCCCGTGGTTGGAGTACTGTGTTGGGGCAGGAAGCGGTGCTGTGAGTCTGGAGGTTTTCCCTCTGCTTGGGATGAATTACTTCGGAAATTGGGGCTGCATAAGCCCATTTCCCAAGGTCAAGAGGGGAGCAGAGGTGAGTGAGATGTAAACTCCCAGCAGCTGCTTCCAGGAGTTATTTAGGGATACAACAGCGGCAAATAAAGTTGTTGGAGGGCAATGGCTGGTTACGCCCCAGAAAGAAGAGACTTCCTCCCTTCCTGGGAAATTTCCATTTCTAGCTGCTTTGTCTGCCTCCTCCCCAGCCTCCCAGGGCAGGCCTGCAGGCACTTGCCACCCTAGGGGGAGGAATTATCCCTGCAGGCATGAAACCATCCCTGTTTATTTTTGTTCTCTTAATTACTGTGAGGGTAGGACATAGGCAGCAGAGCAGAGCTGTGCGAGATTGGAGCTGTGCCGGATCTGTGCCATGTGTACACCATGCACAGCACCATCCCTGTGGCCTCTGTCTCACCTTTGCTCTACTCTCTGTCTCCATTGCTTTTATGGCTGCTGGGATCCAAGGTACCAGCCAGCTCTGCATGGTTATTTCAGCACTGAAGCCCTGAATTCCCTGTGGGATGGAGTAGACAGGGGTGGCCCTCAGAGCTGCAGGTGGCACAGGGTAAGGGAAGGTGATCTACACCTGTGAGACACAGAGGGACAGGTGGGTGCCCAGGAGTAGGACTGGCTGGGCTCAGACCTGCTCAGACCAAAGTTCTAGGGAATGGGTGTTTATAGCAGACAGGAAGGACCAGCATGGGTGCAGGACTGGAGTGGGTCCAGGACTGGGGTGAGTGTAGGTCTGGGATAGGTTTAGGATAAGGATCAGTGCAGGACTGGGATGGGTGCAGGTTTAGGGCAAAATCTCAGGAGTCACAAGTGTCACCTGCAAGACTCAGCTCTGTCAGAGGGACCTGTGGACATGGTGCTGTGTTTGCCCTGTCTGATGTTGGATGCTGTTAGCAGGATGCAGGTGCTCATGGAGACAGCCCAAGTAGGCTGTGTCACCCAGATGCCACCCTGTCTTTCCAGGAACAGCTCTGGCTTTGTACTGGCAGTGCACAGACCTAGGTCTCCTCCTTTCCAAAGTCCTGGTTTAGGATGCACATGGGTTAAAAACCTTCAGCTCCTATGTGGAGCCCAGGGCACTTCTCTGGCACTGGTGTTGGCCTGGATGGGTTAGTGCAAAGCTGGACTAACATCAGACTCCCAACACAGTCCTTCCACATCCCTCTTGCTCCCCTGGCCCAGCTGCCAGCACTCTTTTCCCTGCAGGAGGTGGCTGCACACCAGGAGCTGTCGGAGCGCAGCGC